ACATGGCAAGGCACAAGACCTTAATAATGAAGCTAATAACATTCCTTGTGATTGTGGATTCGAGGTTATTTAAGCGCACTCAGACATTAATTTTGCCCGCCGATTCCGTTCAATTAAGGGTCTCTCGGTCCTCAGTCTCCCCCTAAACTTCGATTGCCCTCTCCTGGGATTTTCCCGGGAAAATCGAGTCAACGTTTTCCTCCGGTCTGGCTGCGGTCTACTCGAATGCGAACAAGCCGCACTTAATGCAGTTTGCGTGTTGGGGCCCAAAACACACACAATATGTACAAATACATTAGAGCGTAATTAATGTCGCAGTTTCTGGCCATGTATATATTTATTTAGTTATCAGCTTATGCGGGTGTTTCTACATTTTCTGCGAGATAGCAAGCCCCGAAAAAACAGAAACAACAGATGTCTATCCGATACAATGTCGTTTAATGAGATAGATACTCAAATAAAATTATAAAGAAAATTGAATGAACATAGCGAAAGTGTGTAGAAAGCTCACAAATAGTTAGTAACTATTTAACTATTTTAATTGCAGATTCAAAACTTTCTCTGCCTGAAATTGCCACTGCCTTTTGTCCACTTAAGTCTTTAGCTTAATTCCATAAAAATAGTTGTCAGTTTAATAAACTCACAGGCTGTACACACATATGTATAAACCTACATATTTGCAGCCATGTGCTTAGATTTTGATTTTAGATAAAAGCGTTTGAACAATGTATGGCTATTCAAACGGAAATTAATAGTTGTGAAAGTTGCCAGACGGGAAAGTCATTAAGAATGAATCAAATAAGAATGTTTTTGGGGTTTTATAAAAGTTTATGTTATATATTTGATTTCTTTAAAGGATTTTTAAGAAAACCAAAAGCCTCTTAAAGAAAATGTAAGAAGAATCCATTTAATTCGCCATCACTCCTTGTTACAGCCACAAAAGCGGTTCAGGGTCATAAAACCGAAATTAAACGAAACCTCAGAAACATCTATAACCGCGTCCAGGTCGAAAAATACAAAAATATCGGGTGGCAGGACGAGCAAAATGCGGACCAGCGAACAGCAAAACGGATTTTCGGGGCGATGAAAATAGAAACATTTTATTTAAAATGCTGCTGCTGGCCAGGAATAGCCAACCACACGAAGGGGAAGGACCCCCGATTTTCCCACCGATTTTCCCCCATTTTCCACCTCCCCTTAATTAAGGTTCGACCTTGGGTGCGTGTGTGTGGCCCAAAATGGTTATTAAGCCTGTTTAAGCCATCAATTGCTATTTGGTGGGGCAAATGAATTTACGATTACAGGAAGAGGACTCCACTCTTCTAGGACGAAGGACGAAGACACCCTCTATGCTGCCCTGTTACCCTGTTTCCCAGAACTTGGCACAAACTGAAATTGATTTTCACTGCGGCAAATTTCGCTCTTGATTGTTCCTGGGGATAATTGATAAAGTTTCTTGCAGGGCTTCTGGATTCTGTTGCTCGAGAGTTTCCTTTTCCACTTGCCACGGGGATTCTAAAACGAATTTTGTGGGATTGGCTTCCTCTCGGATTTTCATTTTCATTTTGATTTTGATTTTCACTTGCCCTCCTGATTGATTGCCCATACGCCAGGTGGGCAAAGGAAATTTAAAGCTGGCATGTGGACTTTTAAAAGGAGCTTTTAATTGGCATTTAAATTGGCTGAGAAATTTTCAGATACCCGAACTAAAAGTACTTCGTCTTTTTGTATGAAATCATATCATATCATATATTGTTGCATACTTTTATACACCTATTTTGATAAAAGTGATTTTAAAAACCAGGATATTTCTATGGCCATTTTAATTTTAAAAATGTTTTAAAATGTTTTAATTCTATTTTTTACATTTTAAAAATGAGTTTTATTCTTTTTTTACATTTTAATAATGAGTTTAAAAATTATTTACGACTCTTAATAAATTCATTTTAATCTAATCCACTTCTTTGTTTTATTTTAAATATATATAAATATTTAAATGTACAAATATATTATTTATATAATATTTAAATAAATTTAAGGGGCAATGTGTAAAATGTGTAACCAACGCCGGGAACTTTAAGGACGGCTTTTATGGCTTGCTCTGCCACCTATTATTGTGTGTGCTGACCTACAGCCTCCGCCTCTCCCGGCGGGATAATCGCTGGCCAAGACCAAGACCATCAAGGTCACCGTGGAGGTGACCCCCCCGCTCATCCCATCTCCCTTCCCATTGATGATGCTGCTCCGGCTGTTGAGTCCCAAAGGGTTTCCAACTTACTTTCGTGGCCAGCGCAAATGTCGATGGCACACTGAAAAAAAAAAACAGTTAACAGTGTACACTTTACAAATACCATTTACAATGTTTTAGCTAACTTAATTTATTCAAAGCTACGTTCTACAAGTACTGTGCAATTATCCGAGTATCTCTTAGTATTTACTTTCATTTGGCCGCGTCAACAGAGGCCAGGCAAACAAATAAATAAACAAATCAGCAAAAAGCAAATAGCAAATGGCAGATGGCAAATGGCAAGGGAGGTGTACACTCGTATAAAACTTTCTCTCCACTTTCTCCGCTTTCGCGCCAACATATTTGCATTTCCCCGGCACGATGGGGAAAATGGAGTTATTAAAACTTGTTGCCAAGGCTGCCCGTGCTGTGTGCATTTAAATGCTAATTACATGGAGAAGTGGGAGAAAGGGAAACTAACAACAAGTGTCAAATGCAAAATTAAAATGGTGCAACAAAAGAGCAGCAATTAAAATGCGGGGGCCAGCCACCCATTGGTTTTGCCACCCACAACCACCCATCTACACCCATCTCCTCCCACCGCCAAGGACACGGAATGGCGACAACGCGGTCGGCGTTCCAGACAGCGAGCACTTTGTTGTCGCCACAGAGCCACAGAACCACTGCCCCACCATCCACATCCACATCCCCCATCACCCATCCACATCCAGCATAATGAACCCAGCTCAGTGGGCGAGGACCATCAAGTTGCCAGTGGGAAGTGCATCCGGGAAACCCCAAAACCAATATCCATTCCGCCATCGATTTGGTAGAAAATAGATGAAGCTTTTTTACGATCCCTAATTAGGATTTCGATAGAATATTGACCTACTTTTTGTATCGCAATCAAATGGCTTTTTTTGTTGCTCATTGTTTTACTCATTATTTCTTTCCCTTTTATATGAAATAGATTTTTTTTAGTGCAATTTGAACTTGAAATACTTTCCAAAATTATAATGACCTTTTTATTTAATACTTAAAAAACAAAAAATTAAAAAATGTTTTCAAGCTATAGTTCTTTTAAATGAATTTGTGATAAAATGATGATAAATTCATGTAAGGTTAAATGATATACCAAAATAATACAAAATAAATAACGATATATTGAACTCAGGTTATAAAATGTAAATATTAAAATATTCATAATAAAAAATATTTTTAAAATTATATATTAATATACAATACATTAAATAAAAGGTATACCAAAATAGTAAATTATGATATACTAAGCAACGATTAGGTAAATAAGAAATCCTTTGCCAAAAGATCACCGTTCAACCATTAGAATTTCAAATTAAAGAGATTCCATCTGAGGATCATAATTTCCGTTTATTTATGGCCTTGCATTGGCGTATTTTATGACCTGTCCATTAGATTTGCACACATCCCATTCTGCATCTATTTCCATTTAGAAGTCGAATCCCTCGACCGATTCGCATTATTCATCATCCATCATCTGGGTGGATTTGTGAGTGTATCTGCATTTGTACTTGTATCTGTATATCCACCAGATACCCCTAGATGTCCTTTCGTTTCCTTTCCTGCGCTGTCCTGTCCGTCGCTCCAAATGGAAAACAATTAATGAAAATGAAAATGAAATTATACGTGGCCGGAGGCCATCATGAGTTTTGAGTGCAAATGCCATTAGCATTTTAGCCGGGGGAATGGATGACGATGGCGATGGCGTTTGAGGGGCGGCAGTCAACACATGGTGGACATATTGAGTTTCGCAGACTGCAGGACGAACATTCAGGACATACGGACCTTATATATATATATACAGGATATAGCGCAGGGGGGTCAATGTTTACTGGGCGTTGGCGCTGTGATTTCGTTTTAGGACCCGGCGGGGTTTACTTTTCATCCGACGTGTAATGTGTAATGTGTAATGTGTAATGTAATAATGTAATAGCAGGGGTTTGTCAAACATTACTATTATTTTGTATTCATTAAAATTACCTATTCGTGTTGCGCAACGATCGAATTTCCGCGACACGAATATCCCTTTGAGGATTCTAAATATAAAATAGTTTGCTTTTAGGGGGGTGGAAAACGAGTAATTGTAATTTATCGGTTACAAAATGAGGGAAACAATAATAATCACGTACCATTTGGCGTTTAATCGATTGCCTTGATTGACTATCAGTCACCGGTGACCTTTATGAATATAGATAAGATCATTTTATCACGGCGATTGTCTGTATGGACTTACGTTTTTATGATGGAAATGATTATTTTTTTGTGCGACTCATTTTTGACATTTTTATTGCACAAAATTTGATTTTGAAAGTTTGAAGCAATAATTACAATGAAAATATTGGTTTAGTTCACAACATAGGCAAATCTTTTAAATCTGAAAAAAAAGTAAATAAAATAAGATTTTATATCCAATTTAAGGATAGTTCTTGGGATTTTTATGTTTTTTATCTTTTAGTTCACTGACAAGGAAAATCTATTAAATCTAAAAATAAATTATATAAAGAAATACATATTTTGTTATTATCGACATAACAGCTCTTGTGTTTTTCATGTACTAAATAATTATTTTACAATATTATGGAAACGATATATATTAGTTTATAGAAAAAGAAAATCTATTAGACTTAGTAATAAATAAAATAAAAATCTTTAGGGGATTTTTTATATTTTTTATTTATTATATTAGACAAAAACTAAGGGATGCCCTTCTCTTTACATTACTTTCCCTTTCCAGATGGCTCCGACTTCAAGGAGCGGCTGATAGCCACCGTGAAGAAGGAGGTGAAGCAGCTGATGGAGGAGGCGGTGACCAAGAAGTACGTCCACGAGGAGAGCAGCTCGGTGACGTCGCTGTGCGGCGCTGTGGAGGCCTGTTTGAGCCAGGGACTCCGTCGCCGGGCTCTTGGGCTATTCAAGACCTCCTCGACGACGGCGCTGCTGCACAAGATCGCCAAGAGCTGTCCGGAGGCGGAGCACATCAGCAAAATGGTGCAGGAGATCGAGGCCAACGACCCGAGCAAGAGGTCCTCCAGCAGCAGCGACAGCTTCCAGCGACCGCCGATGCTCAAGAAGAGCAGCAGCAACTCGATGTCCACCGGCAACAATGCGGTGGCCAGCACCTCCTCCGCCTCCGCCTCCATCAGCGTCAGTGCCAGCACCTCCAGCATGTCCTTGGCCAGCATGAAGTGAGTTTCAGAAATTTCTTAATTTAATTTCGTAATAAAATAATGGAATTTCCTAAATTTTGTACATTTTGAAACAACTTGAAATCCAAGAGAAACTAATTTTTAACTTGCTGATTTTATTATACAACTTAAAAGCAGTTACGTATTTCTGGAGTTTAATTTTTAACAAAAGAAAAATATAAATACCACATTTCATTGTATTAAATGATGTTTTGACAAACCATTAAATAGCCAAAATTTCATAATCATTGTAATAGTATTTTAGTTTTATTACTTTATAAATTTGTTAATATTTATATATATTTTCGTATTTTCACCCCCAGATATTTGTGGATTCGGTTGGCGCTCTACGAGAAGCGACTCACCAAAATCATCGAGTATCTGGTTTGCAATGCCAGCAGCTTCTACGATCGCGACTCCCTGGTCGCCGATCCGGATTATGGATCCATTCTCAGCTCCTTGTTGGTGGGTCCTTGTGCCCTGGAATTTACGCGGGCCAAGACGGCGGATCACTATTGGACCGATCCGCATGCAGATGAACTGGTGAGAAAAGTCGTACAATTAATGAAAATTAAATATATCGTTAAGACTTTAATTTAAATATTTTTAAATAAATATTATTATATATATTAGATTATAATTATATAGTATACCCATAATTTAGATTTCAATTTCTAAATATATATTATTAATATAATAGGTATAATAATATACCTATATTTTGAAAAATTTAATTTCATGTCCAAATTATTTTACGTTTTATTAATATATTAAAAAAATAGTTTGTGCTTTGATTTAAAATTTTTTTAGCTTATTTTTTATTTAATTAAATAAATATAAATATTAAATACTTTAATTTAAATACAAATTAAAAATCTAACTTACAGTTGATGTTAATATGATGTCTTACTACGAATATCAGATTAGTAAATAAATAATATATTTTTAATCCCCAAAAATCGCAGGTGCAACGCCACCGGATCAGCTCGTGCCGCCGATCCTCGTCGACCTGCTCCCGGCCGGCGATCATCAACTTCAAGCGGAGCCTGAACACGAGCTCCGACGACGCGAGCAGCGGCTCCTTCAAGTCGATCGCCTCGGCCAGTGTGGCCAAGGACTACGTGGAGTCGCTGCACCAGAATGCCAAGGCCACGCTGCTCTACGGCAAGAACAATGTGCACGTGCTGCCCAACGGGGTGGCCAATCCGATGCCCGGCTACCTGAGTCTGCACCAGCACATCCAGACGCTGACGATCAAGTGGACGCCCAACCAGCTGATGAACGGCGGCTACGCCGAGGAGGAGGAGGAGGACATCGACAAGGACCTCTTCTGGGCCTACGCCCTGAACATCAACGTGGACGAGATCGTCTACGTGCACTGTCACCAGAGTCGCCGCGAGGACAGCGGCGGCATCGTCATCCTCGTCGGCCACGACGGCGTCCAGCGGCCGCCCATCCATTTCCCGGAGGGCGGACACCTGCAGCAGTTCCTCACCTGCCTGGAAACGGGCCTCCTGCCCCACGGCCAGCTGGATCCGCCGCTGTGGTCGCATCGCGGCATCGGCAAGATGCTCCTCTGGCAGAGGAACATGCGCCGGCGCATCCTGCCCGCCGTCCGAGAGGCGACGGGGGCGGGGGCGGGGGCGGGGCCGCCTTCGGAGGATCCGGGCATCGACTTCGTCTTCCGCATCGTCAGCAAAAGCCGCCACGAGGAGTTCGGTGAGTGATTTAAGTAGTTAACATTAACTTAACCATTTTTTTTGCAAAGAAAAAATTTGAGGAATTAAATTCAGATGTAGCAATATAAAAAAAGAAAATTATTTTCTTCATCGGAAAATAAATTTCCTTCAGAAAACAAATACACACAAAAACAAAATGTATTTTTTTCAATTACTAAATTTTTTTAAAGATATTTGAAATAAACAAAACTGAAATTAAATACCCATTTACTTCATCAGAAAATAAATGTATAAAAATATATTTTCATTCAATTACTAAATATTTTGTTGTATAGATATTTGAAGTAAACAAAACTGAAATTAAATACCCATTAAATTTTCTTTCGACAGACATTGAATTATTTTTTTTAAATAATAATTAAATTATACTACCTTATATTGGATTTTTTTATTAGTTTTTTAAAAAGAAATATTTTTAAATATTTGTTGAGATTAAAAATGATTCTTTTCCAAGTTTTGTATCATATGATAATGATGACATTTTTGCATATTGTTGCTGAAGCTGCCGCCCACTCGATCCTGGACTTTGTGCGCAGTGCTCCGCGGCGGGCGCAGCTGAGCAGCTGCTCCACCACCGGCAGCAGCGACTGCTCGAACAAGAGCCTCTCCATCGACCAGTGTCCGCTGGAGTCGCCGCTGACCCTCCAGCAGCAGCAGCAGCAACAGCAGCTGGTCCAGTCGCAGAACACCAGCATCGAGGCGGTCTGCTCCACGATGCGCCGCCAGATCATCTCGCGGGCCTTCTACGGCTGGAAGGCCTACTGTCGACACCTCACCACGGTGCGCACCCACCTGTCCGGGCTGGTTCACGCCAGGATTATGCCGGACGGAGAGGCAGAAGGTTGGTATTGGCTATTTTTGCATTTTTTATAAGGGGTTACATCATAATTTTTTGCGAAAAATGGCAAAAAAATAAAATGTCCAGGTTTAAATTCCAATCGATAGGAAATTTAAAAACGAGCTCAGAAAGGTATGACAATCCATATTTGGATCAATACTTCCATTGTTACGGTAAAAAAACGAATTATTTTTTTGTGAAAAATTGGGATCTTGGTTTTAGGTAAAAAAATGAATTTTTTCTTTTCGTTTTTTTGCTGTAACTTTGCCAAAAATGGTCCTACACGAAAAATAAAGACCGTTTTGAACAGATAACTAAATAATAAATAAATCCATGACACTTTCCGGGTGATCTTGAAAAAATAAAATTTTCGTAAATTTTCATTTTTTTTGTAAGGGGGTACCTCATGATTTTTTACGAAAAATGGCAAAAAAATAAAATGTCCAGGTTTAAATGCCAGTCGATAGGAAATTTAATAACGAGCTCAGAAAGGTATGACAATCCATATTTGGATCAATACTTCAATTGTTACTGTAAAAAAACGAATTATTTTTTTGTGAAAAATTAAAACCTGGGTTTTTGGTAAAATTTTGAATTTCTTTCTGTTTGTCTATTTGCTGTAACTTGGCCAAAAAAATAAAAATGTCCAGGTTTTAATCGATTGCCAATTTAACAACGAGTTTAGAAAGGTATGACAATCCATATTTGGATAAATATTTCCATTGTTTTGATTAAAATACTGTTCTTTTCGGGTGAAAAATCAGGAACTGACCATATAATATTTTTTTATTTATTGGCCAAGTCCTCTACATTATTGAACCATATCTTATCTTTCGAAGGAACAACAACTGAGGCAACTGAAGGTACTGAAACCACGGAATCAACCGAATCCCTCTGCACATCGGTTCCAGAGAAGCGCGGTTTGACCCGGGAGCGCTGGGAGGGGCTGCACGAGGACGGGGTGATGGAGGACGAGATGGAGTTCTACCGCATCATCTACTACGGGGGCGTCCGGCCGGAGATGCGGCAGGAGGCGTGGCCGTATCTGCTGGGACACTATGCCTTCGGCTCCACCGCGGAGGAGCGGAGGAAGCAGGACGAGACGTGCAAGCACTACTACGAGACGACGATGAGCGAGTGGCTGGCGGTGGACGCCATTGTGCAGCAGCGGGAGAAGGAGAAGACGGCGCGGGCGGTGGCCAAGCTGAGTTCGGGCAGTAATTCCGGCAATGAGAAGACGGTCAGGGCGGCGGATCTGGAGGCCGGTGGCGAGCTGGAGAACGAGGTGTTCGAGGACATCTCCGATATTTCCGATCCTGGGGATCTGGAGTTCGATGAGCAGCAGCAGCAGCTGCATCAGCAGGAGGCGACTGGTGGCCATCACCTGAGTGTGAAGCCCATTCCCAGGGCCATGAAGACCAGCACGGATTCGGGTCACGTGGACGAGGGTGATAACTTTAATGAGCTGGACGAGGATGAGGAGGAGGAGCAGAAGCAGGATGAGGGCAACAAGGAGCCAAGGCCGGAGGAACCACTCAATCTGGAGCCCAGCTGCTCCTCCAACTCCACGGCCTCCTCCTACGAGACTGTGGGTCCTGGCGGCACTGGCGGGCACCAGCCGCAGACCAGCGACACGCGCAGCGTCCTCAGCCCCGAGTACCTGAGTGCCGACGATCTGCAGCTGCCGGAGGACGAGGATGCAGTGCGGCCGACGACATCGCAACAGGCCAAGGCGGCCGTCATCATTACCAAGGCCTCCGTGGACATAGCCAACTGGGAGCAGCGGAGTCCCCGGGCGGAGGAGGCGGACCGCATGCCGACCGTGGAGGAGCAGGCCGCAGAAGTAGCCGGCGGAGGAGGAGGAGGAGGCGTCAATCTGGATGCACTGCCGCAGCCCAACTCCGCCTGCCCCTCGCCAGCCAGCTCCAATGGAGGTGTCTACAGTGTGAGTAGCTCTAGCTTATTTTTTTAGATTTTTCTGTGGTCTGTTTTCATTAAAATTAATTATAAAAATTTATATTTTCGCTTGAGAAATAGTTTCATGGGGCGTATACGTAATATGTTTATTTTTTTATTTTTATTTTAGAATTTAGAGTTAAGTGGTAATGTTAAGATTAAATAATACTAAAATACTTCAAATAGTCAAATAAGAAGCGATTCAACTAGGCGTATACGTAATATCTATAAAACTCTTTTTTTTATTATTTGTTTAATAGATTTTTTAGAGTGTAAAGTAGTTCTATCTTATTTTTATAGATTTTTCTCTAGATCATTATCTTTATAAATCTTTAAATAATCGACGTTCTCTTCTGAAAAATGGTTTAATGAGGCGTATACGTAATATGATTTTTGTAAAGCTTATATTTAGAAGTTAGAGTTAAATGGTAATCCTTTAAATAATTTAACTTACATAAACCCTTCTTAAATTTATTTTTAATAATACTAAAATACTTCAAATCGTCAAATAAGAAGAGATTCAACTAGGCGTATACGTAATATTTAAATACAATTTTTTTTTTAACATTTTTTTTGTATTATTTTTTAATAGATTTTTTAGAACACTTGTTTTATGATTATTTCCAAACTTTTCAGAGCGAACTTCTCGAGCAGTTCGGCCTGAATCTGCATCGGATCGAGAAGGATGTGCAGCGGTGCGACAGGAACTACTGGTACTTCGCCAACGAGAACCTGGACAAGCTGCGCAACGTGATCTCCACGTACGTGTGGGAGCACCTGGACGTGGGCTACATGCAGGGCATGTGCGACCTGGTGGCGCCCCTCCTGGTCATCTTCGACGACGAGTCGCTCAGCTACAGCTGCTTCTGCAAGCTCATGGAGCGCATGATCGAGAACTTCCCCAGCGGCGGGGCCATGGACATGCACTTTGCCAACATGAGGTAAATCTTTAAAATATTTTTATTATATTATTATTTCATTAATTTCTGTGCTCGATAGATCCCTCATCCAGATTCTCGACTCGGAGATGTACGAACTGATGGACTCGAACGGCGACTACACGCACTTCTACTTCTGCTACCGGTGGTTCCTGCTCGACTTCAAGCGGGAGTTAATCTACGATGATGTATTCGCAGTTTGGGAGGTCATTTGGGCGGCCAAGCACGTGGCCTCGAGTCATTTTGTCCTGTTTTTGGCCCTGGCCCTACTGGAGACCTATCGCGACATCATCCTCTCGAACAGCATGGACTTTACCGATGTCATCAAGTTCTTCAATGGTGGGAACACTACACATTCTATTATATATTTATATCATATTAATAAAATTGTAATTAATATTTCAGAAATGGCCGAGCGCCACAATACCAAGGCGTTGATCGAGTTGGCCCGAAGTCTGGTCCTGCAGCTGCAGATGATCATCGAGAATAAGTAGGGGAACCCATGGAGAACCCAACTATATAGGGGCGTTATGCTAGAATCTAGATCGTAGTTCAGTCAAATTTCGTTTGCCAATGTCGATGTCTTCGCTATAAAGTATTCGTACCCAAGAAAACCAAAGAAATCCCACTAACTGAAGCTGTAACTGTAGTCCTAATGGTTAATTGTACTCTTATGTCTACGTAAGTTCTTCCTAAACTCTCTACGCATATCCCCAGAAATAGAGGAAACCAGAAAACAGGGGCAGCAAATGCAAATGCAAAAGACTCTGAGCAAAAGAATGAAATCTTATACTTATATATACGATACGAGATGAATCCTTATACGACTGTATAGACAACTGTTACTCACACACTGCACTCGAACCTTTTTGTTTTCAGTGCTGTGCTGGTTTTTTGTACAGAAATCAAATATCATATTATATCAAAGGCAAATAAAAATTATCAATATATATGTACACAAGAAAAGTGCGTTTTAGCAGTGACTTCAGATCAACCAGTGTTATTTATTTTAGCTAATTCAAATAAATATCGATATTTTCTCTCTTTATTGTTTATAGATTTTTTCCATCATCGATGTTCTTAAAGATTTTGATCTGAAGGGGCTGTATTAGCAAATCGCACGTTAGAATATAAATAAAATACACACATATAGAATTCCGAAAGCGAACCCGACTTTCAAGCAAACCCAAGCAAAGGCAACTAAACTCTGTACCAGCGAAAAGTATCCAATTGTGTGTAACAATCAAGGCAACAATAAGTCAAGTACCCTATAATATCCATATATACACGGCATATAGTCGGATCTTGTGTGTCTATTATCTACATATATGTGTACTTTTAAGCTGCCAGGCCAAACCGAGTTTCATCTTCATTTAATCGTATCTTATTTTTATATAATATACATATTTATATATCTATTTTCCCCACTGTGTGATCTCTCTCTCTACACCGAGTATAAATGTTGTGGATTATCTTTATACCCTAATTATACTTGTACTCTTTGTAAACGTACCTTTCCCGGGACAAACAGGAGGTAGACGATACGATACCTCGGCTCCACTTTATCTCAATTACAAAAACCAACAATATATATATATATACACCCCCAAAATATGAATATGATTATATATATATATAGTATAAATGTATACAAGTACAAAGCAAATGACGTCGGTATGTTTGAAACGGAATTAATAAAATAACACATATACGATATATAGCTAATCAAAACCGAAGTTTTCGTGGCGGATGGGTAGATATATTAACATCAATATATCATCGAACGTACGATATATTCCGATCCATCAGCTGATCGCTGCGTAAACCTGTTGCCACTGAATTTTGAGGTAAACAATCTTTGCTTATCACGGCGATAAGACGGACCTTCCTTTAAGTTTCTATTCCCGGCCACTCGTAGTTGCCAATGGCCCAGAAATAAATTGATTATTGGGCAGATTGGCAAGAGGATGAATGAAACGCAGTTACACTCCGCCGACATTTGGGGAACTTGGTTATAATAGATCATTAACTAATTAGCACGTTGTAACTTGGCTGAACTAAGTTGCATATAATACCTCATCATTAAAAACTAGTTGCAACATTTTAAGAAGGGTTATTTTTCTTCCATTTTTAAAGGAAAAACTTCAGTAAAACGCCAAAATACTAAACAAACTATTTACAAAATTATCTAATAATAAGATTTTGATTCTTTATAATTTTCTGTATAACTTATATTTATTTCTTCAAGTGTAGACCATATAAAAAAGGGAAATCCGCCTTATCTTGAGAGTTAATTTTGCCTTGCGTTTATTTTATTTTCTTTCATTTCTGTTTGTTTGACTCGCAGTCGCATTCGAATTTTCTGTCAGATCGGCGAGCATCCACAACTTGGGGATATATAAGCCGAACCGGCTGCATTCAACTCATTCGCTGGCTTAATTCAGAGGAACTCGGTTCTCGCCATGTCGGTGTCGTTTTTGGCAACTTTACTTGGTCTCAGCAATGACGAGGATCAGCTGAGATTGGCCCTTGAGGAGGTGGAAAATCCCAGAGGTTAGTGGAAAAGTAACAAACCCTTATTTTTAAAAGGGATACATATCAGCTTTTTACCTAAGTGAATGGATATAAAATCTGTTGTAAGCTGAAAGAAAATATTGTTTTCACCTAAACTTAAATTTATGATATATGGTTATATACGGAATACTACAAATTCCATAAACAATATTAAATATAAATGGTAGGTACATTTTTTCAAATTCAACTTTATTAAATTTAAAATATTTGTACACTTCTGAAAAAAATATTTACCGAAATTAAAATCAAGATCTTTTTGACTTCTTAATTAAAAATATCTTCCTCTTCGTGATTTTTGCAAAAATAAAATGCCCATCTCTACGGGTCGCAAAGCTTTTGGTTGATAAACATACATAAAGCTCGCGCTCTCAACATTTTGCTCTTGGTATATATTTCTTGCTCAGCCAGCTGATTCCGATTCCGATCTGAATCGAAACGGAGCTCAATGTTTTGGCCCCAGTCGCCCAGTGACTGTTTTTGTGGTGAGTTCGGTGGGATATTATACACACAGTTCAGGAGCTCTACGCGTTTTTCCGTCGGTGATCTTTGGACCGGTGCCTTTTTGTTTACTAATGCAATTGGACGTTCCCAATCTCCATTGCAGTTCCCTTCAGACAGCCAACGAACCTGAAAATGTCGTCCCCGATCCGCTATTACTATGACCTGATGTCGCAGCCCTCGAGGGCGTTGTTCATTATCTTCCGGCTGAGCAACATGCCCTTCGAAGACTGCGTGGTGGCTCTGCGGAATGGTAAGGGTATTCAGGGTGGGTCCATGTTGAGGGCAGTATTATGATGAATTTGATTATCATGATGATGTGACAGTTTTATATCATGTTTAAAAGACTTATGCTATGCTACAATTGTAAAATATTATTTATAGAAATTAGTTATTATTTATTATTATTTTATTTTAATTTTTACATTATTTATGTGTTATCAAAATATAGTTTTTTTATAATTTTCATAATATTTCCTATTGAGAAACTAATGTTATCTTAACAATGAAAAAACTGTAAAAATAATTCTTTTTTTGACCGTAACAATGGAAATACTGATCCAAATATGGATTGTCATACCTTTCTGAACTCGTTATTAAATTTCCAAACGATTGGCATTTAAACCTGGACATTTTATTTTTTTGCCATTTTTCGTAAAAAATCATGATGTACCCCCTTATAAAAAAATGGAAAATTAACGAAAATTTTATTTTTTCAAGATCACCCTGAAAGTCTCATGGATTTATTTATTATTTAGTTATCTGTTCAAAACAGTATTCATTTTTCGTGTAGGACCATTTTTAGCCAAGTTACAGTAAAAAAACGAAAAGAAAAAATTCATTTTTTACCAAAAACCAATATCCCAGTTTTTTACAACAAAATAATTCGTATTTCGGCCATAACAATGGAAATACTGATCCAAATATGGATTGTCATACCTTTCTGAACTCGTTATTAAATTTCCAAACGATTGGCATTTAAACCTGGACATTTTGTTTTTTTGCCATTTTTCGGAAAAAATCATGATGTAACCCCTTATCAAAAACGTAAAAATTGGTTCGAAATTTAATTTTTTTAAATAAGATGGAAAGTACGATGTTATTATTTATTAGGTTGTTAGCTGTTCAAAACAGTACGTCCTTTTGATTTTGGACAATTTTTGGCCAAGTTACAGCTAAAAAATGACTAAGAAAAATGCACTTTTTTATTGAAAATCTATATTTTATTGCCAATTGTATTTTTTATTTACAAAATGGCGTTTTAATTAATTTAATTTTAAAAATTGCCTTAAAGCTCCTAGTTTTTTCATCACATCAATAAGAATTTTTAAAAGGCATGGACCCAGCGCCGTCGTTTGTAGTTACAATCTTATCTTAACCACGGTCTTTGCCCCCAAGGCGAGCACTTGACCGACGACTTCAAGCAGCAGATTAACCGCTTCCAGCGCGTGCCCTGCATCCATGACAACGGCTACAAGCTGGCGGAGAGCGTGGCCATTCTGCGCTATTTGAGCGCCAAGGGCAAAATCCCGGAGCACCTGTACCCCAAGTACTTTGTGGACCAGAGTCGCGTGGATGAGTTCCTCGAGTGGCAGCACATGTCGCTGCGGCTCACATGCGCCATGTACTTCCGCACCGTGTGGCTGGAGCCGCTGCTGACCGGACGCACTCCCTCGGAGGCCAAGATCGAGACCTTCCGCATGCACATGGAGCGCAATCTCGATGTGGTCGAGGAGGTGTGGCTGGAGGGCAAGGACTTCCTCACCGGATCCACTCTTTCCGTAGCGGACATCTTTGCAGCCTGCGAAATCGAACAGACTCGTGAGTAGGGGATTATTATTGATATAAATAAAGTAATATTTACCTTTATTCTTTATCCTTTTTGTATTAGGCATGGCCGACTATGATGTTAGGATCAAGTACCCCAAAATTCGGGCGTGGCTGAAGAGAGTGCGCCAAAGCTGCAATCCGCACTACGATGTGGCCCACGAGTTCGTCTACAAGATCTCGGGAACGGGTCCGCAGGCCAAGCTCTGAGATCCCCAGCCACAGATCTTCACCGAGCCATTTTTGTACATAGGATCATTATCATTTATACGGAATAATATAATATATAGTTAATGTGTAAATAAAACTACTTGTTTCCGGTTTATACTTGTACAATTTATTCTTAATATTGGTTGTTTCTTTTTTATTGTGTCGTCGTTTATAGCATTATAGAAAATCCACATTTATTTTTGTTTGAAAAAAAATCATAATACAAATAAAATATATATAGATGTATACATGTATAATAGAAAATACAATTTTTAAAAAATAACTACCTAAAGTCTAACAAAAAATTGTTTTTAGTTAATCATAATATTTATATAGCAACGTTACGCGCTTGGGGTTCTTTCTATATACTCATATCCTGCCTTCTAGTTTTTGTTTCTGCCTTCGGGTAACAAAACAAAATGCGTACAAAATATATAATCCGTTATATATCCATTTTTTTGTGGGGGGGGGGATGTAAATCATAATTGTGAATGAAATGAAAAAAAATTAAATCGTATATACAGCAAAAAAAATGGGAGGAATACTATACAACTATAATCTAATTGCTTAATCATATATATTTGCATGTACTTTTATGCGTTCTTGTTGTTGCCAAACTTAAATCATATACAAACTACACAAAAATATATAATATTATATATGTAAATGTAAATTTATGCCGTTTCTCATGCGTTATATGCGTAAGCATATGGTCACTTTATCAATCAAACCCCATTTCGAACATGGTATCCCTCTTCCGGTCGCCTGTCTAGACATTAGCTTTTTGTGCGGAATATATGTGTATATGTCCCTGCTATAGAGTTATATAGCTGCACCTATATCATGCATTTCCTACAGCACCGCCCGAGGTAAAAAAAATTTTGTTTATCCAAAAAATATAAAAAAAAAATGTTGTGGGTAGAAAAATAGGTTTTCCAGAATTTAAAGCAAATAATTTAAGGCACCAAAAATGGGATCCCCTTTTCCTCCACTTTTTTCTTACAGCAGGTACACAGGTACACAAATAAAAAATAAACAAATGCACATTTAAACTAAACAAAAAGCGATCCCTATCAAGGGATCCCTAGCACAACTTGGTTGTCAGGGGGACTCGTCCGATTTCCCGGACAGGCGACACTTTCGATTGTTCCTATACATAGGTGGATATTTATGCGATTTTTCTGTATTGTGTTGTATACGTTTTACAAAATAGTTCTCTCTCTCTCTCTCTATCTCTAACCCTTCGTCTCCCCGCATATATCTCTCTCTGTCTCTCGCTATATATCTCTCTCTGTCTAAATCCAGATCTTAGCTTGGTTCCCATTTAATTTGTGTGTTTTGTGTATTTTGTGTGTGCGAATAAATTACTTCCTGCCCTCGTAGAGTTTTCATCTAAGATTGTTTTTTCTGCGTTGCATTGTTAAGATTTCCTTTTGCCCCGGGAGTTGTGTATTTAGGAGTAGAGTGCATTTAGCGTTTCAATCTCGGATGTATCTTTATTACTGTTTGTCTGCTTGGGTTTTTTTTTTATGAATATTCAATGTCGTTTGACAGTTTTTAGGCTTACAACACAACTCCCTGGGATCTGCTGCACATGAATATATAATATATCGTGATAGAATATGTGATAATACGTATTTTAACTGCTCTGCTGATTTGTTTTGCAATCAAATCGCTTCCTACATTCCTTTTGGTTAACTTTTAAAACCCAATTCGGACTCAACTTTGCAACTGTACGTTGAAATAGATATATAGTAATATAGATTATGGTGACTATTTTTTACAGAATCGAAGTAGGTTAGAGTATTTTTTGCGCATTTTCTAGTAGCTTAAATCAAATTCTTTGACATTGCTACATGGAAATCTTCAAATTCTTCTTACTACAACGACTCCTGTTTTTTTTTGTTTAGCAACTTTACTCAGGTTAACATTCATTTAAACTTTTGTTTTTAAAATGTGTGTTTAGCATTTGTGTGTTTAACAGACTATTGTTAAATAACTTCATCCTATGCCTTTGTTTCTCATATTAAACCCTGTTAATACTCGTGTAAACTGTGCTTGTTAAGCAACTGCTATTTTAGGTTTAGGTTGAGGTTTCACTGCAGCAATCTGCACTTTTGATATATGTGATTTTACAGATTTACAGAGATCCTTTTCTTTAGAAGCGTCCTCGGTTGATGTTCTTGATGCGTATGCCCACCTCCAACACCTGATCTCCGTTGCCGGCGGGCGTGGTGCTGTTGCTGCTGCTGTTGCTGCTGCTGCCGCTGTTGCTGCCGCTGCTGTTGGTGACCCCAGTTGGTTGGACACTCGAGGGAACTCCAGCTGCTCCGCCATTTCCATTACTTCCATCGCTTTGCGGCGAGTTATTATTATTGCTGCTCGATCCCGAACTAGATCCTGGCAGGGCCACACTCGCCTCGCCGCCAGCCTGCCCAGTCGCCGCTGTTCCTCCCAATCGCCGCAGCACCGTGGTGGTGGTCGTTGTGGTCGTCGTCGTCTCGGCCGCCGCCGCCACACTGCCTCCGCCGGCGGACGAGGCGCTGCCCAGCTTCAGCAGCTGCTGCTGATGATGGCGATTGTGGTGATTGTAGTTTATGGCCGCCAAATCATGACCGTGCGCATGATTCGAGCAGCTGCCATTGCTGGCCGAATAGTCGTGCGGACCACCGACCGTGTGGCGTCGCTTAATCGAACGATTCTGCTTGTTCTGGATCTGGCGCTTCTTGGTCAGGTTCATGTCAGTCTTCTCGTCCTTGGTCAGCCCGGTGGCGGCACTCAGTGCCTGGCAGCAGGCCGCGCCCACTACTACAGCTACTCCACTGGCTACTCCCGCTGGTTGTGTGCTCGTCATGTGCCTGGTGGAGTAGTTGCGGCAATTGAAGCTGGCACTCCGAAATAACCGATGATCGCGTCTCTTCTTGTTGTAGCGCTCGAGAAAAAACGACGGCGAGGGTCGTTCGCCGAGCAGCAGCTTCTCCTTGGGATCACTGGTGGTCGAGCCCTCGGAATCGTCCTCGGAGGCAGCTCCTCCTGCGGATCCAGTAGAGGTTCCTCCACCAGCTGCCGCTGCGCTGCTCCTCTCGTAGCTCAAATAGTTACTGAATCTGGGATGTATGCTCTTGGTTAGCGTGGTCACGCTGCTCGAGGAGCTGCGCGAGGGAATGGCGCCGACGACGACGACGCCACTGCTCCCAGTGGGCGTGCCAACGGGCGTGGCCGCTCCACTCGTGGGTGCCGTGGAGCTACCCTGATGTATGGGCACCGTGGCCGAGTGCTGCAGCTTGTGGGCCGCCTTCAGCAGACTGGGCGGCAAAGGAGCAACGCTGCCCGACTGCTTCGATGGCTTCTCATCGCCAATTGTATTGGTGGCCGTGCAGGAGCGACTCAGATGGAGCGACAGCGGTGGTGCGTCGAGGGGATTGCAAAACTGATGGAAGAGCCGCTCGGGCGACTCGTCCGCATACGGAATGTTCTCGGAGTGCAGGTGCAGCGGCTGGCCGAGGGTGTGCCGCCGGTTCTTGGGGAACTCGGGCGATCCGTTCTCGTCGTTCGATTCAGAGCCGCTCCTCAAATTGCGCAGCTTGCTGTCCAGCGTGTCTGTGATGGTGGTCAGCGACATGGAACCTGGTTAGGGATATATTTAATAATTACTTTCAATCTTTCATTCATTCTCATTAGAGCCCTGCATGAATGGATTCAATGAATTATTTTGAATTTTTTGTTTTTTATGAATTCATTAATTCGAATTTTGAGTTTAATAGAATTGAATGAATGAATGGCATGAATTCCGAAATAATTCAAACGACAATTTCTTTTGAAGAAGAATGGGCCATATATGGTGATTAAATCTGCCTGCATTTTATTTACTATACAGTTAACTTTGATTTGTTAAAAATTTTCCAAAAAAAACAAACAAAAATCTGGCAAATTCAAAAAATTTATAAAAATTATTCATTCAATTAATTCGAAATGAATTAGATAAACATTCAATTTTTTTCACATAGAATTGAATTAAAGAAATCAGAAATTTTATGGCATACTATGATAAAACAACAATTGAATGATTCACGCAGGGCTCTAATTCTCATTCAATACTTACCCGTATCGCTGAGCCTGCTGCTGGAGTCGTCGTCCGTCAGCAGTATGGATATGTCCACGCTGCTGCGCTGCTGCTCCTTGGCCAGATTCAGGCCCACGCCCAGGCTGTGGCCCAGACTGCCCGACGACTGACCCGAGTCCTTCTCATCCAGGCTCGCCTTGCGCGTCGTCTGGTGCGATGATCTCGAACCCAGAAATCCTCCAGTGCTGCGCTTCTTGAAGTTGGCACTCAACAACTTGGAGGATGTGGACGAGATGGATGAGGAAACGGCCACCGCCGTGGTCGAGGAGGCCGACGACGACGAGGAGCTGAACTTGGTGGTGGAACTCGACGAGGACGAAGCGGAGGCGGATGCGGAGGCCACCTTGCAGCTGCTCGAGGTACTGGCGGTACTGCTGGCGGATGCCGAGGCGGAGGTCGATACCTTGGCGTAGTCCAGCGACTGAAAGGGAAGAGAGACGGAGGAGGGGGGTGTGGGCAGGAGCAGGATTAGAGCCTGGTCGCAAATGCTCTGCACAGCCTTGCGCTGCGCCCGTCGCTGCTGGATGGTGGTGGTGCTGATGGTTGTGGTGATGGTGTTGCTACTACTTGTGCTACTACTGGTGTGGGTGGTGGTGCTTGTGTTGTTGGAGGAGGAGCTCCCGCTTACCAGAACACTCTCGCCGGAGTACGTGTCCGAGTTTACGGCGCTCCGCTTGCCATGCGTCTTGCGCCTCAGCTGCGGCATGAAGCGCGACGTGCGCGTCGTCTCCCGCTCGGTGATCCGCTCGATCTTCGAGAGATTATGCAGCAGCATGCTCGTCTGATCCTCCTGCGTCTGCTGCTGCGGCTGGGCGGCATTCACGGCGGCCGTACCGCCGCTCACCTCCGCCAAATCCGGCAGACTGCCACCCTCAAAGAAGTAGTCGTACTGGAAGGCCAAATAAAATGTTAAATAAATTCTAATAAATATATAAACTACAATAGCAATACCTGCGTGACCAGCAGCTCAACGATGCGGCACTGATGCTTCATATCCTTGACCGCCGTCTCCAGCGTGTCGTTCGGCGTCCGGATGATCGAGGGCCCAAAGATGATGGCCAGGTTCTTGGGCTCCATGCGATTGACCTCACAATTTCCGCTAACGCGGCACAGATGCCGTATCAAATGCTTCATGGTCTCGTACGGATGACGCGGCAGCGACTCCACAATCTCGCGCAGCAGCACAATCCTCTCCAGGCCGAACTTCTTGTCCGCCTCGATGAAATTAATGTAGTAGCTAGCCGGCATCAAAGCATCCGGCAGGCTGCGAATGAACAGCTTGAGCAGACTGCTCACCACATTCACATCCTCCCAGCGATCGTCACTCGCGCAGCTCTCGAACTGGAAATCCTTGGTGTTGACCAGCTCGGAGAGCTCCGAAATGGCCGCCTTGTTGCCGGGTATGCGATAGATGCCCACCACGCCCAGGCCCTTGGTCTCCACAATGTTCGTGCACACCTCCACGAGATGCGGCACGCAGGCATTCACCTTCGACATGGGGCAGCTGCGCAGGGGAACGCCAATGGAGCCGATCTGCTTGGCCGCACACGAGGATGGCGAGGCGAGGTCGTGATGAGAGACTCCTCCGCTAGTGCCACTGCCACTGCCGCCGCGGCGGAAGAGCAAATCCTTCCAGTTCTTCGACTTTGGCGAGCCCAAATCCTTGTCGGGTATATGCTTGTGCGACGACGACTTCCTGGCCTTCATCACCGGCGATATGGAGTCGCTGGTGGCGGCCACAATGGCCGCAGCCGCTGGCAGAGCCGAGACATGATGATGATCTGTAATCCCACCCGAATGGGAGCTCAGCGGAGAGCTGTCCGCTGCTCCGGCAGCTGCTGTTCCTCCGCCACCCTGGACATCGTCCAGATAGCTGGCACTGGCCGCTGTCTTCTGTGGCTCCGCCAGTTGTTTTCCCTGTTGCTGATGCTCCTGTAAGGAAAAAAATAGAAATTAATAGCTGTTTAGATTTAGAAAAATCACACTTTAACAGTTATTTTCTGATTTGTAAAGTAAAACTCAAGGAATAACTATTTTTTTTGAGTTTTATAATAAATGTTGACAAATAACAGTTATTCGTCGTGATCAAAAATAAAACTCAATCTTGATTTATGACAATTTTGTGGGTTAAACTAATTTTAAAAAAAATATAGTTATACAATATGCACGGTTGGTTTTTTTTTTTTTTTTTTTCTGTTTAATTATTTAATTTTTTTTTAAATGTCAAAGGAATAACTGTTATACATAAAAATCAACAAATAACAGTTATTTTTTGATTTCTATTATAAAAATCAAATAAATAAAAATCATTACGGATTTATAAACAACAATGGCTAACAAAAACAATGGTGTATTTAAAAAATGTTTAGGACTCTTTAAAGTGAATAATTTTTTTGGTAAGAAAAATGTACAATAACAGTTATTTTCGGTCCCTGGTTTAAACTTTAAATTCCCCTAACAACACATACATTATCATCGTAGTTGAGGCTGTCCTTCCACTGCAGCAGGCCAAACAGACGTTTCATCTCGTTGCTGCTCTTGGTCTTGAAGAGGATCTCCGTGTAGGGACCGCCGCTGCTGCAGGTGGACGAGGAGGTGGATGCGGTGAGGGCTGATGATGAGTTCGTCGCCGCCTGTTGCTGCTGCTGAGTGGCTTCGTTTACACCGCTGCTGCCCGAGGAGGTCAGCAGCTTGTCGTGATTACCAGCAGCAGATGCCTCATCCAAATTCAACTCGTTGCCCAGCGTGGCCAAGTGGGCGCCACTGGGCGATGGCTTCGACTGCATGCGAATCAAGTACTTCTTCTTATCCAGCGACTCGTCGAAGAACTTAAAGTTTCTAATATCGAGTTCTATCACCTGAAGATGGAATTAGTTTGCTATTAGTTAAAGGGATTTCCTATATTCTTTTATAATACACTTGCATTGTGCTCCGATTTGGCATGGCGGCCTGAGTAGATGCGCAGCAAATCGCCCTTGATCTCCAGCTTCACCTGACGCCACGATCGGTACTCGGACATGCGCTATAAAATACGGTATAAATTTTTTTAAAAAAATAAATTATAATATATTTTATATTTACTATACCTTTCCGTTGATGCAGGAGGACTTGATCTCGATCTCCGTTTCGAAGGCCTCCAGTTCGTTGGGCACATACTTGCCATTCAACTCGGCATCAATGTGGATGCTATTAAATAAGATAAATAAATTCAATTAAAATTAAAATGTATTTATTATTTTAAATATAATAATCCAACGAACCTGCTGCGCATGTCGCTGCTCATGGAGGCCCTGCGACTCCCGTGGGCCGACAGACGCACATCCTCCAGGCCGTTGGGCGTCTCGATGAACTCGTGACCGCCGCCAGTGCCGCCGATCACATCGTAGGTGGGATCCGGATGCTCCTCCACCAGGGATTTCGTCTTCTGCGGCTCCACGACAGCAGCCACCGGAATGGGGATCGAAATGGGCAGGGGTGCGGGTGCGGAGGGTGCGGGAGTGGGTGCTGGAGCAGATGAAGAAGCCGCTGGAGGAGCTGCTGCATCTCCTCCGCCGCCTCCTGCTGCTGCAACTGCTGCTGCCTCCGCCGCATTGAAATCGGCCTCATTGTTGGTGGCCCGCAGATAGGAGATCCTGCGCATCGGTTTGCCTTCGTCAAAGGAGCTGGATGACAGAGGTTTGTAGCGCCGCACAACGTTGCCGCTTCCCACAACCGCACAGTCCACAATGGCCGCCGCTGCAAATGTGGCGAAAATCAAATGGATTACCAACTTATATCATATCCGTTCAATGAGGGCTTAATAAAATATTCAATACCGCCCCAAGTGCGTTAAACCATATGTATGTGTGAAAAATATTCCCAATTTAAGCTGTTACGTTTTGCAGGACCTTGGCCATCATTTCTAATTACGTTCTAAAAATTAGTGTGCGTGTCCATTGCGCTGAATATTTCTTGATTCTTTCTTCAGTAATAGCTTTTAATTTAGTTTTAAACGTGATTACTTCAATTTCCCAAGCTAAATGCAGGAGCTATTAAATATTCTATGCATCTAAGTGGAAATCTAATTGATTTTTGAAGCTGAATTGGAAAATATGCAGTTTTAGAAATCGGGAAATTCAAGAAATTTATAAAAAATAATTGTATGAAAATATTAAATACAAAAATTCCCAGTTTCACAGGGGTTAGATTGTATTATATAGATCAAATGGTAAATCTAATTACTTTTAAGGTTGTACTTGAAAAATATGTACTTTTAAAGAACTCAAAATCGAAGAAATTTATAAAAAATAAATGTATAAAATCGAAATTAAATTAAAAGAAATTCATTTAAATATTCCCAGTTTCATAGGGTTTAAATTATATAATATAGGGGCTACCAAGGACCTACCACTGCTCTCGGCAATGTCCGCCAAGGTGGCAACGGAGGAGGAGCCCGCGGGCGGCTTATCCACAAACTCTGCGCCAAATACAAAAAAAAAACGAAGCACAAAAAGGATTCATGTTAAGTAACTTAATAGCTGGGAAAAGGTAAAGATGGTGGTTGAGCCAGGAACCAAGAACCAAGAACTCACTGCTGCTGGGTGCCACCGGCGGCAACGATGGTGGCATTGGATCGATGGTGGCATTCGCCAGCGTCGCCTTGTGCAGCTCCATCCGACTGCTCGTCTGCCCGTCCACCGTCGTCGTTGCCGTCTGATGCTGATGCTGCGTCTGATGGTACTTGGCCAGCGGATGCTGCTGCAGGGACTCGTACAGCACGCTCTGCTTCTTCACCGTCGAGGTGACCGTGGAGCTGCTCGATGTGCTGGCCGAGGACTCCATGGCGCTGGTGTTGATCGACAGCGGCTTGAAGGGATCAAAGCCCTTGGACATGTGCGACACCAGTTTGCGCTCGAAACTGGGGAATAAAATAGGGAAACTATATAATATACCGCTTTACATTAGAGTCCTGCATGAGTGTACTTGAAAGTCAATTTTTAAAATCAGTTAACTTGGATCACTTTTTTTTCATTGGATTTTTTCATAAGGAAAAACAAGGGATTTAATATAAAATAAATAGATTTAAAATAATTTCAAATCACCTGAATAGTTTGCTTAGTAATTTTATTACTCCCACTCACTTTTATTCTGTGCTTAAATCACTTGTTTTTCCATACGAGTGATCAAGTGAAAAAAGTGATGCCAGTTAACTCTATTTTCAAAAAATTGACTTGTTTGTCAATTCAAGTGTACTCATGCAGTACTCTACTTTACTTACACCTTATTGGTGACTCCCGTCTCCTGCAGCGTCTCAAAATAGTCCAGATCCTTGGCATACTTGGCATTGTTGTTGATCATCACCTGGTTGCGATGTTGCTGCTGCTGCTGCTGTTGGATCTGCTGGTGATGATGAATTTGCTGCTGCTGGTGGTGGCTCACACTTCCGGGAGCCGTGGAAGATCGCTGCACTAGCTTGCCACCGGAATAGTACATATCATAGCCAAGGACATGATGTTGTTGCTGCTGCTGTTGCTGCTTTAACATCACTTGGTGGCGACTGCGTGGCGGTGGCACCATTACTTGGACACCAACTCCACTTGGCGGCGTGTGCGAGGGAAAGAAGTGCTGCTGCTGCTGCTGCTGCTGTGCCGGCGACGAGGAGGATTGCGGCGCCTGGTTGCCATTGGTCGAGGAGGAAGCGGAGTTGGAGGATGAAAGGGAGGCTGGCACCGGCGACTTGAGGAACTCCTCCTTCTGCTTGATCGATTCGCGCAGTCGGATCATCAGGTCGCTGTTCTCGCTGCCCCCCGAAAGGGATCCCGATCCCGATCCAGATCCGCCGGCTGAACTGGGACCCGCGCCAACTCCCACCCCCGCATACAACGCCTGGCTGAGAACCGTCGCCGATTTCGGCTGGCGGGCAGTGGGCGTGGGTGTGGGCGTGTTCGTTGCCGAGCTGGCCGATAATACTGTTAAATTTGGCGGCTGATTGGCACTGAAAAAAGGTAAAAGAAAACAATTCAAAACATTAAAAAGTGTTGAGAAATATGTGAAAAAACATAGAAAACTTAAAAGTAAATTAAATTAGTTTTATTAATATTTTGTTTAATATTTTAATTTACTTTTAAAGATTTTCATTGTAATTTATTTTAATTTATTAATTTTATGTTTTAAATATTGTATTTATTATTATTAATTTTATTTTTCTTTATTATTCTTTAAATTTATTAGTATTATTTTATTTCCCATTTTATATACCTTATTTTCAATTCAGGCAATGCATAACAGCCGTTTTGCTCGAAACAATGCAGCATAGCTTTAAAAATTATCAAGGCCACTAAATAAATGTAAATTTAGATTTGCACTTAAACCATTAAAAAAACACATTAATTTTATTTTTAATAGCAAAAGCTAAGTGTTTAACTACAACTTTAATCGATTTACACGCCACTTTCATGAAGTAAAATTCGAAATAAAATCGACTCATTTAAATAATGTAATTTTCACCATTTACACTGACACATACGAAACTTTAAGCACTCAAATCAACAGTCTGCCTTTCTATTTGCCCAGCAATAATCAAGCAAAAGTGCTTCTGTTGGCGGATCTAGACATTTTTCGTATGGCGGCGGCCGCCTGTTAATTTTTTTGCAAAACAAAAATATTTGTCAATTGAATCAGCAGGCAGACGCAGTAGCTCCAAATTGGCAATCGGCCAAAAGTAGTAGTATGCCTCCCACTTTTTGATGGCACGTGCCGTCGTCAGTTTGCCAGTTTGTCATTTTGTCAGTCACTCAATGAATTTAAGTTTGGGTCGCCTTCGTCGCTGTCGTCACACGCGGCGCATGCGCAATGTTCGCAATCGCGTACGCCGATCACGATCGCCGACCTATAGCCAAATTCCATTCCCTATTTTGCGGAAAACAAATCTATAGCTCACTATTCTTATTGCTTTTAAACAAACAAATAAAAAAATAACACTCAATTCAATTTAATTGTGCTTCCGTTTGAGTGTCTCAAGTGCAACTAATTAATGCAAGTGGATTTTTAGATTTTCAACAGCTCCACAAAGAAGTCCGTGATTCATTGGAATGATTAATTTGAAGTCAGACAAAGAATGAAAACAGCAGGTGAAAGAAAAATGGTTCTTATTTAATTTGTTTAATTACTCGTGAGCATGATAAATATTTATTTTTATAAACGTTATTATATTAACGTCGAAAAAGGTGTAACAAAAGATTTGATTGATATGTGCAGGTCAATTTTATATGATCTAATATCAAGTTAATATGCTTTAACCTTAAATTTGACATTAATCATATCGACTTTTTCATAAAAAGTTTTTATTGATATGAAATAAGGTAGAATTGACCCTATTTCATGTCAACTTTTGTTTTCTGTGTGAAAATAAAGGCACTTCCCTTTTCTTAACCCATCCAATTTATAACTGTCATTGCTGGAAGCAAAGTTCGGTGTGAAAAACATGAATTTCTGCTATATTATCAACCAACCATGACTTACAGGAAGCAGCTAAACAATGCGTTTTACATATTCATAGGGAAATTTGAAATGTTGAACTTTTACCAGTTTTCCCAGCTCAACAACAAACTAATGACCGCAAAATTTGGAGCTTAACGAGCTTGATGAAAAATCTATAAAATATTTAGTAATGAACTTGAAACTGCAATCAAACCCACGCGTTTGTCAAAATTCTCTGCATTTTCCGCTGACATCCCTAATTGACATGAATGTCAAGTAGATAGAAGTTCATGGCTAAAAGCCTTTTGTGATATGTGAAAATGTCAAATTGCGGACCGGTTTTTTTTTTCGGCCATTTTTTGTTGTTCTACAGTGGCCACTCAATAAACCAACGGCAGCAGGCAAACTGAAAGGCAAACAAAACAAATTAGATTTGGGCCATAGTTTAAGTGGCTGAGAGCAGCTCGAATAATTAAGTTCCATGTGGCGCAGCACAAAGAAGAAGAAGCATTTGCCTATAGAGTTTTAGCCTCTCGGCTGCGGTGGGGCACTAGAAATGGCAAATTAGTTTAACTATACCTACATTTCCTTTTCCTGGCCCCCCAAATCCTCCCCCGCATCCCCCTTACCATCTCCTACTGCCACTGAGATTGTCAAACGAAAGTTCAAAGCTAAAAATAGTATGTATGGTAAGTGACAGTGTGTGTGTGTTCGCCAGGATGGTTAATTCAATTCGCTTTTAAAAGCCTTTCCCACACTCAAAAGGCTCAAAACCCCGGCAGACTGTCAAGGTCAAAAGGTAATGAATAGATGGCCCTCCCACCTGCCCCGCCGCCTCCGCTCCCTTCTCTATATCCCTGGATCATATTTCACAGGTCGCAGAATAAAGGAAACGCACACACATATTTCCATTTCCTAGCTTTGAGCGCACAGTGGGTAAAAGTTGTATAACATGCAAATTTTATATTTCTGATTTACAGTTCTTATAATGAGTTTGAAATACATTTAGTTATAATTTAAAAATATAATAATATAGTATTTTTTCTATAATAATCTTTATTAAAAAACATTTTTTTATAAAATCGTTTTTTAGTCCAGAAAAAAAATCTATGTAACTTGATTATATTGATTATAAATATTATGAATTTTACATATTTCGAAATTATATTTTTTATTCGATTATAACACACTTTGCCCCACTGTGCGGCGGCAGAGCAGGTAGCAGAAAAAAAAACAACTTCGGATCAGGAGCGCGTGTCCCCAGCAAATGAATGTGTGATTATTCGGTGGCATTATTATCTATGCATAAGCTCTATATATAATTTTCGATATGTGGGTTCTACACTGGGCCAAAAACCGGATGCCTTCAAAGCTTCAGGTTGTTCATAATAATATTGGGAATTATTATTAATTACTTTAATTTCTTTCGGTGCATTGTGTGTATGATGCAGAAAAGCTTTGACACAAGTGACTCGCATACAATTCAATTCAATTCGATTTGATTCATCGACCCCCGACCCCCTTCCTCCTCTCAAAGTCCCCGAAAAGCCCTTATCACCCCCGATGTGTACATATATCCCATATTGTTGGTGCATATCGATAAAAGGCGGCCAGCGAATTAGCCGTATCTATATCTATAGGGGGTGCAAACATATAGTATATATATATATATGTATATATCTATAAGCTCTCTCCCTTTCTCTGTGCGGAATTTCGCGCTTTTATTGTCTGCTCGTTGTATGCACAGTGGGCATATTTTGTATGATTTGCGTTTTGCCAACTCTTGCGACTCTTTGCAATTAACAAGTCGTAAATAAAAAAATGTTGACACATTTGATAAGCGGCAAAAGCTGCCACTGGCAGCAGAGGACCCATAAACACACCCATTCACGCACTCTCATTTTCTCGCAGTGTGATTTTGTTTGTTTAGAAATGCAAGCCCTTTCAAATATCGAATTTCCTTGCCAGATTTAAACATTTTTCAGGAGGTTTTTATCATTTTTATGAAGAGTATTCTGGCCCTTTTTTTTATTTATAACAAATATAGATTTTTAAGTATTTTTAGGAGTAATTTTGTCAAGGAATTCTAAATATTTTCTTTACATAATTGATAAAAATATCTTAAAAGTGTTTCCAAAAGATTGGCTGTCTTTTTGATTTCTCTTTTTCTGATGATTGCGTTTCTTTTCTTCCACTCCGAACTGATGGAACCCATTGATTGCAATCTTTTCAAGGGCGAGGGCAAACCTTTACACAAGTCACGTTCATTGTGGTCTTTGTTTTTAAAAGTTTCTGGCGAGGGAGTCGCTCTTTTTTCGACGCTTTGATCTTTTCGCCTCATTGAAAACACTTGAACTCTTGATCTAATGTACATTCTACATGTTTTTCGGACAAGGTCTCGGCAAATTATGGTTTCTTGTTAGGTTCTCAAATTGTTTGGCTTTTATTTCACACTTTATCACTATGGGGGAGCAAAGAAGAAGAAAAACAAGACAAGGAGAGACGGCACAACTTAATATTAGGGAAATGGTTTAGAAAATTAACCTGTTTTCATTATTGGAATCGATCTCGAAACGTATCATTTTCATTTGTATAAGCATGGGCCTTTTGTCGCCATTCAATGGTAGCGCATACATTTTTCTGGCAGTGTATGATAGTCACTCCATCACAAAACAACACTCACTATTCTCTACAAAAACAAAAATCGAAATATGCTAATAAATAAATTAAAATTACAAAAAACTTCGTTGGCCCGCGTATCACAAAATCTGAAATCTGCGCGAACCGCTCGCCATCGTCAACTAAACTAAAGTACTACGCAAAGTCCATGCGACTAAACTAAAATAAATACAAAAAAAAAGAAAATACAAATAAAAAAAAAAAAGAAGGCACAACAAAACACAGCAAAAATTGGCTTTGTATGCATGTATGAAATTCGTATTAAAGAGCGGCAGAGGCTCAGCAATTGAAAGAGACCCATTGAGTGGGCAGCGACCGAATGGCGAACGACCCACCGACCGATGCTCTCCTCTCACTTGATTCCCTTTTTTTATTATTATTATTTCAATACGGTGATCACACCGAAAGTGAACTGGAATTTTTCAGGCACTTTAAAAGTCCTCTTTAAACTTGATTTGCAGTATGTTTTTTCTCTTTAAAATCAATGAATTAAAATGGAAACAAAAAAGTTTTTTAATAACAAAAAAAATTAAAACAAATAAAAAAAAAATTTCTAACATAAAAAGTATTTTTTTTATAATTTGTCTATAGTCAACATTAAATATTTCTATCCAATATTAAATATTTCTATCCAAAAACAAAAATATATACAAATGATAGGATGTTATACATTTTTTGATAATACCTTTTTGAGTTCGTAACTACCCATAATATTGCAATTCTAGTGCGCACTGTATTTTATAACCAATAAATAGATAAACAAATAAAAAAGAAGTGAGGGGCGGTCAGTGGGCGAAGGGAGCTGCCCACAGTTTGCACAGGATAGTCGAAAGGGAGAGAGAGTGGGAATAACTATATCACTATCAGTCACCGACTGACCAAATATATACCCCGCACTCCACCCTTTCCCCCCTTGCGCCCTGCGTCTAACCTTGCCTTGTTTATTTATTTACCGAGTGGGCGGAGGGGTTAGGGGGTTGGGGGGTATTCCACCCGACCGCAGGGCGTATACGTAATTGTCAAAGCAAAGTAGTTAAGTTTGTGTAATGCACAGTGGTAGCAATATAAATTGCTTGATATTTCTTAAAAAAAATATACAAATAATTTAATAACATTAAAGGAAATACGAAAATAAAATAAATAAAAATAAAAGTGAAAAAATATTTTTTTGTGTGATTTTTGTTCAATTTTAACCACTGTGCAAGCAATGCTACGCACCTAAAATTGAGCTTTGCATTTCCGATGGCATATTTTCGCCAGCCATCAATCAATCAATCCATCAATCAAGTATGCAAAAGGGAGGGATAATGCGTAATATATAAATTGTTATTAATATTTTTAAAACCCTTTAAAAGGCACCACCTATTTTCTGCCAGTGTACATTACATTGGTGGCACGTTCGGAATGCCTGGAGTAGTCAATAATTTACATAAAGCCTCCTGCCGAGTCGCCAGATCAACTCAAACTCAATCTGAATCTGAATCTGAGTCGTCTCAATTTCCATCGCAATCTCGAAAAGATAAATCTCTCGTTCGCTTAAAGAGAGAGAAACGGAAAGACGACGACGACGACGACGACTTGATGTCTGCGGGAATTGAAGGCATTATTTCCTCCCCATTCTTTGCTCTTTGCTGGCATACAAAATTCAATTAAATTTATCGTAATCATTTAACAATGGAGCAAATATTCGCCTTTTGCAGCTCAACAAATTTATTGTTATTGTTGCGAGGTGTCCATTTACACTCGTATGTATTAAAGTTATGCGGTTATTTATTTATTATTACTACACCCCCCGTATTTTTTTTCTCCTCCCGATTGGTCAATGGGTTTTTGTTACTGCATAATAATTGATTTATTTATTCATATTTATGTGCAGCCAAGCTGCGTATACGCAATGCCACTGCTGACTGGCGGGGGTGTTGAAAAATGTCCGATATTGCGTTTTGAATACTAAAATAATTCTCAGTAATTTATGCACGCTTGCAGGTTTTAGCAAGGTTTAACCTCTCGTAAAATCAGGTTTACTCAATTTTCCAACAATCGAAAACAGCGTGAAATGTGTACGAGGGAAAAAAGTACCTTAATTAAACAATTAATTGCACTTTTCAGGGGTACAAATTATTGTGCTATTGTTAATTAAGTAACACATGAAAAGCAATCAATAATCAATCACTCCATGGGGCCACCGTCCGTTTCCCGAATTTATCCCACAATCAAGAGATTCGTCTGTGGGGAAATTGTCAGTTGGTCAATAGACGTCGTGTATCTATGTATTTTCAACGGACAGTTCCTCTAGAACTGTGTTCACAAAAGTTTGCCCAATCCGACTCACGTAATTTGAAAATTGCACATGCAACTTGCAACTGGAAACGTGACAAACTTTCCAAATAGAATACGAGAAATTTTAAACAAAGAACGATGATAAAATGAGAGTCTGATGAAGGTGGTTGAATTAGTTTTAACCACAAAATCTATTTAAGCTAATGGGTTTTCTTTCATTCATTTATAGTTTTTCCATCCATTCACCTGGCAACCAAGTTTTAAACATCCCTTATAGCGACCTTTAAGATTCCCCGCAGAATGGGAAACACTCACTTGTATATTATGCATGTAATATCTCCGCTGACGTCACATGAACTTTTTATAGAATACGAAATAATAAATAATTTTTGCACATCCCCCATACAGACAGCGGGAAATATATGGAAAATAATTTTCATTCAGAACAGACAGACGCAAAACAATGACAAATATGCATGGAAATATAAGCGAGAGAGACGGGCGATGAATGAAATGAGTCTGAAATGAGGAATGTACGAAATGGGAACGCCAGCGGATGAAGGAGAATTGGAGTGGGAAGTGGGTTTCGAGGGGAAATCATATGGAATGGGATGAAATGAGGATGAAATCACCGAAAAGGCCCCAAAGCAGCAGCCGCAATGGCGACCAATATTCGTCTGCCGATTCTGGCCTATTTTATCGATAATCTTTATCAGTGGTTTCTATTTAAATATTCAAATTTTTTACTATAAACTAAAGACACTCTATCAAAAACGTTCCCAAAAAATGCTGATTATAATGCCAGAGATCAGATGAAAATTCCAAAGGGGAAAATGTTTATAGAGGGTTAGCCTCGAGGGGCTGAAAAACCTTTCGCACAGAGTTCGTTTACAATTGTTTTTAATTATGCGCATTGTTCGTCGCCAGTTGTTGTTCATTATGCGGTTAGTTAATGTCATTTAGTTCATCAGCTTAATTTTCATCTCTGCCCCTCTTTTTTTTTTTATTGGCAGCTAGCTTTTCCTCCATTTCTCGTTTTCAATTTCGAATATTGGGTTTTCACTTATTTGTTTCGTTTGTTTTTTTTTTGTGCTGGCAATGAAAGTGAAATAATGTGCAATATGCATACACAGCCATACATAAATCTACATGTGCATCTATATGCTATTAAAGACAGGAGGAGAGAAGACTGACCGCCTCTCAACTTTTGCCACCATAAATCACAAGAGATCGCCACTGAACAGTGGGGCAAAAAGCCTTTAAAATGGGAATTTTTTAAATATTTTTTCGCATTTCTTTTAAATTCCTCTACAAAGAACTCTATGTTTTTTAAGTCAAGCGTAGAATTTTCCTTTAAACCTAGTTACCCTGGCGAAATCAGTGTTTCCGTCTCGTGCCATTCGACCAGTTCTGTTTCATTTCGTTTTTGGAGAGCACACACATCTGAATTTTTGTTGGAAAAAAAATCTATATAGTTTTTATTCCCATCGATTCGAGGAATCTCGTGAGTTTTTGCAATCCACCCATCGTAATAGTAATCCCCTAATCTAAATGCACAATTCTTTGGTAGTTTTCTGGCGCTATGGTGGAGAAAAAGAAATCGCTTCAGCTGCTGCGAATGGTGCGCTCTTCCCTGAAAATCATCTACAACGATCACTTCTGTTGGACCTTCATCAAGAGCTATGGGCTCTTCTCCTTGGCCATCCCGCTGGCCAAGTACCTTGATGGCTTCCAAATATTGCCCAACGGGGGCATCTAATTCTTTGTTCTAATATACGTAAATTACATGTTGATTGAACAAGGCAACCAGTCGAACTGTAAAACCAAGTCTACTCATTTATGGTTTGTTTTTGATCACGATTAGATTCGAAACGGAAATCAGCTAATCGTTTTGGCTATTTTTTTTCTTAAGTCTGGATTTCTTATCGCTAATATTTTGCCAAATCGTTTGAATGTTTTATTAGTTCTTCAAAAACATTTTATCGGTCGAAATATTTGCTGTTTAGAGTTTGACAATCATATCAACACAATGTGATCAGTAATTCAAGGGCAAAATTAAAAAAATATATTTAAAAAACAAATGCTTTAAAAAGGGAGAACAGAAACTTAATAACTTTATAAAGTTAAAGTTATATGGAAGTTTAAAGAAAACTTTTAAAAGAATTTTCGGAGGGACTAATCAGTTACCAAAACTTAATATTTCGTACAAAATATAGATGATTAGTTTAAAGACAACCAATTGGCATAAAAGAAGACACTAGATCTTATTTGTAGATCTTGAAACGTTGTAAATTTGTCTGAGCTATTTTCTACTTTTCCGAAAACCGAAAATCGAAATCCGAAAATCCGCTGTAATTGCTATCGTGTGTGACGTCAATTGCCGTTCGCCAAGGTGAGCTCATTTATTTTGTTGACTTACCGCATGAACTGATGATGATGTTGCTGCTGCTGGTAGAGATGTTGCTGCTGCTGTTGCTGCTGCTGCTGCTGATGTTGCCGCAGTCCATGTGCCATGTCCCCGAAATCGATGCTGCTGCTGCCGCCAGTCAGCGCTGGATGACGATGTTGTTGCTGCTGCTGCTGTTGCTGCTGCTGCTGTGGGTAGAACTGGTGACTCAGGATGGTGATGCCTCCGCTGGCCGTGCTGGTGATGCTGCCCGATCGACTGCCTCCGTGCAGGGAGGGCGCATGATGGGAGTTGGGATGCGATTGCGAGTGCGGCGATCCTGCCGGCGATGATGTGGTCACGGCTGCAACAGCGGGATATGAGATCAACTGTTGCTGCTGCTGCTGCTGCGGTGGCGCTGGAACTGCTGCTGCTGTTGCTGCTGGAAATGTGGTCTTGTGGGAGCCGTTGGCCAGCAGCGAGGGCGAGTGCGTCGACATGGTCAGGCGATTCGACTCCGGCGTGTGGGCAATGCTCGTATAGTGCTGCAAAAAAAAAAAGATGAGGTAAAACAAGTTAGAGATGATAATGTAATACAATAAATACAAAACAGTGGGTGTATTTCAATAGTCACATTCTTTATATTATATTATATGCCTGAATCACAAAGCCAGGTGATCCTAATATCACTATTTGTAATTTAAATTTGCATTAATTAACTTGTCATGCCTTTCGAAAGCATTACTATTGCCTTAAAATAGATCATCAATCAGCTTTATTAATCACTGGTTAAGGCAAAATGTGTTGAATTCACAGAAAGCCAACGTTTGTTTATCGATTTTCGCCGAATTTGTTTAAAAATTTAACTGCTTAACAAAGAGCTCGGTGTTTTTTGTTTATCTTGAGCGAAATAACATTGGTCTCCATTCGGTGTGGGATAAATAAAAGATCGATTTCAACTCAATTTACTATGATATCAAGCATGTATATTTAAGATCAATTTGATATTAGACTCTGTTTACTCGATGGAAATATTTACAGAGCACGGTGATATCATAAAGCCTTCTCAGAAATATCTTTACACTAAAAATTAAAATATATATGAATCACAAATCACAATGATCATAGTCATAGTCACTAAAACAAAACAAAAATAACCGAAACTATATTTTTAAGAGATCTGTGATCTATTATCCATTCGGTGTGGGATAAATAAAAGTTCAATTGTAAGATCATTTTGATATTAAACTCTGTTTAGTTGATGGAAATATTTACAGCACACGGTGATATCATAAAGCCTTCTTGGAAATATCTTTACACTAACAATTAAAATATATATGAATCACAAATCACAATGATCATAGTCATAGTCACAAAAACAAAACACTGAAACTTTATTTTTAAGAGATCTGTGATCTTGTTTTGGGTGCGGCTCGAGATCCTTACCATCTGCAGGACATCGCACTCCTTGGGCACCACGTGCAGCGTGAGGACCGACGGCGTCTGCTTGATCATCGAGACGATGGTGCTGTAGGCGATGCCAGCGATCGGCTGGTTGTTGACCATCAGCACGCGGTCGCCCGTCTGCAGGTTGGCGTAGTGGGCCGGTCCGTTCGCCTGCACCTCTTTGATGAAAATGGTCTCCATCGCTTTCACTTGGTACGGCGGCAGCGACGTCGGTGACGTTGGCTCCAAACCGGTGATCCCGGCGACGGCGACGCTGCTGCTGCTGCCGCTGCTGCTGCCGGCCATACTGGAGGCTTCCTACACACCAAAACGAAACCGAAACAAAAAAAAATCGTTAGTCAGATGTACGATTGTGGTGAGGCAGCTAAGTAGTGGGTGCTAAGAGGAATATATATAAAGATATGCTGCCAATTTAGATTACAATCCTCTGATGGATAAGCCGTGCCCCACTAATAAGTATTTCTATTTAATTCAAGAAGACTATTTTTGTGAAACCAATTTTGCTACCAATTAAATATATTTTTACCATACTTTCTGATTTATTTATCAGATACAAGTTAATTTCATAAATATTAGTAGATTGTATAATATATTAAAATAAAAATATCAAAAGCAAGACCTATTTGCCTGAACGTGACTGTGGGTCGTGAAACAACATTTGGCGAGGAGAGTGTAGATTGGATTAAGGCGAAGTGCGAGCGACAAGGAGAGGACGAAGAGAGAGTGTGAGAGTGAATGAGAGCGGCGAGCGGAGGTTGTAATATCAACAAAAATAAAAATAAAACGGGCACAAAAAAGTGAAGTGAGCAAAACGCAAATTAGTGCAAAAATAAAAATAAAAGAGAAAGAGAAGGGAGGTTCTACAGACATTTGAATACCCTAAAAAAAAAAACTTTTCTGCATTATATCTTTATATTACAAGATTTAAGCTTTTTCGTATTCATAAAAATTCATTAAATAAAACACTTAAAAGTTAAAAATTGTTAATTTTTAAATGATTTAATAACCAACTTTTAAGTGTTACTATTTCTAGAGTACTAATATTTTTAGTATGGTAAGAATTTCTTACCATAAATGTATTTATATTTTAAATTTTTTTGTCTTTGTAGTTTCTGGGTTTTAATTGACCTCGAACAAGTTATGAATACATTTAAAATACCCTTGATGAACTTTCTGTGCTGGGTATCACAAATGAAAAGCAAAAAGAAAGCAGAAAAAGCAAAAGCGGCAATTTGAATAAGTCGCGCGTGCGCAGCGCTCACGTAACGCCAAACGCCGACGCCGAAGTCGACTGAGGCAGCGGCAGAGGCAGCAACTGAGCAGAGAGCAAGAGAGGGAAAGAGAAAAAGTCACTCTCGCTCTCTCATTTGCACTTCCTTTGCGAGCAATTTACTTCCATTTGCAAATTTTTAAATAATTTACCTTTAATAGTTTTACAAATGTAAATTGAGAAAAACAAATGTATTGACAATATTAAACTAAATAATTATAAAAATAAATTTCTGTTAGAAAAGACTATACAATTTAAGTAATGAGAATCCATTGAAAATGAAGACAACATTAAATCTATAGAAAAAGTAGTTTTCTTATTCTCAAGTTTAAAAAATATATAATAATATATAATCAGATAATAATTAAATTTTTTAAATATGCATTTTTTCAATGCCTGTATCTATCTATTTATACTTAATCTATAAAATCTTGTATTTTTTTTATAAGAATTCTCTATCATGTATCTATCCTATCCTATTCTATATATCCTATCTTATCGTATATCTATATGCTATCCCATACTATATATCCTAACCTATACTTTATATGCTTTCTATTTATTTTATTATATCCTATATACAATATCCTATCCTGTTTATTCAACTATCTATCTAATATAGTTTTCCTTATCCTATAAGCTATATAATATATCATGTTTTTTTTATCCCCCAAATCCTTTGCATCCTCTGTACCCCCTATTCCTGAATCTATCATCATCCCAACTCACCTGTGGCCAGTTGCCCGATACCGATACCGATGCCGATGCCGCCGTTGCCGATGACTGGTCATCTTCCGGCGGATAGGCGATGAAGTGGCGCAGCGTGAAGCCGAATCCCTGGTTCGGTCGCCGGCGGATGACGATGAGCTTGGGCTGGATGGAGGAGGCCGCCAGTGCCGCATTGTTGGCCGCTGCTGCTGCCACCGCTGAAGCCGCTGAGGCCGCCTGCGCAGCGGCAGCGGCGTTCGAGTTTTGTAACATTTTGTAGCGGGGGCCTCTAGTGGTTTTCCAGGGGGGGTTTTCCTACTGCTTTTCGTATTTTGTATTTTGTATTTCGTATTTCGTATTTCGCCTCTTCTGTTTACACACTCTCTCGCTTTGTTTTAGGCGCTCTATCTCCTTCGGTGGCTGGCTTTGTGGCTTGGTGGTTTCTGTTGTTGTTGCCTTTTCTATTTGTCGTGCGGTTGGCTTTTTTTATTACTATGTTATTTTGTTTGTTATTTTTTATTTACTCTCTACTCTTTTTTTTCTGTTTTTTTTTTTGGTGGTCAACCTGTTGTTGGTGGCACCCTCATTTGTGTGACGGTGGGTGGGGGTGGTGCTTCACCCCTGGTTTTCCTCTTCTATCGGCTAAATATCTCTTATCCTCTATCTGCAATTTCGATTTGCAGTTTTGTTTTTTCCTCTGTCTCTGTGTGTGTGTGTGGAGGGGAGGGAATTTTCCTTTACAGCCTGCGATACGTTGCAAATTTTCGATGTGGCTGCGGCCCAACGAGGCCCATCGTACCGATCGATATTACCATAGTACCGATGCTACGGAATCTCCTTGCCGATCGATCGAAGGGTAAACGGAGGTCATCTGTAAATAAGATAAAAAGAGAATTAATTTTTTATTAGATTTATTTGAATAAATATTTAAAAATCGAAAAAAAAAATTTGTTACTATTCAGAATTTTACAAATACAAATCTAGACTAGAAAAAAATTGTATTAAATTACCTTAGAACTAGTAAAATGTTTTGGTCACATAAAAACGCGATCTTGTTCCCCAGAACCCCAAAACCATCAAATGTTCTTGTCATGGAGTCACTCTTAGCCCCATGGTATCAGCTTTTCGAGAGCAACTGAGTAGGGTTAAATTGCGACCAAGCGTGTTACACTTTTCAGACTTCTCATTTGACGGTCAATGTCCAACACACACACACACACAAAACGCTATGGTTGAATCTGTTTTCGGGTCTTTACTGTATTTTTTTATGCATTGTAATTAAAGCTGAAAAAGGTTTTTGTTTTGTTTTTCCGTGGCTTTTTGTGTCTTGAAGCCTTTGTTTTATTTGTGTGTTGGACTGGGCAGTAAAAAGCACTTAACTAACTGTACTTGGCCATATGCGATGACTTTGGGTCGATCATAATAATCAACAGCACTACGATGATGATGATGATGATATAATGCCGTTTATTACCACTCTTTTTTGTGAAAAATAAAAATAAAACTAAACTAAAACAGTCCACCACTCCGGGCAGACTGAAACTAAGAAAGGTATTAAAAATGAAAACCCCTTTTAAAGCGGGTTGGGTTAACGCCCCCTTTTTATTTCGCCTTTCTTTACTTTGACATTTCTGTTTGCTCAAAAAGTTATCGCTTTGAGGGCGGGGACAATCAATAAAAGTTATTGTTCGTTTAAAACATTAACTGAAACTGATATGTTTAAGTATAGACTAGCTAAAAGTCACTAAATAGGTGATTAAATGGGTTTTTAACTGACAAAAAGGAAATCCCATTGCAGTTTTCTAAGTTTTGGGTAAAAATTATATTGTAAAAATCTATTATATCTTCATCTACCGAGTTTAACTTCTTAATTAGCTGCGGATTCAGAGAGTTCGAATGTGGATGCCCCCTGTGATTTTTTGCTTATTGTTTTGCGAACAAAAAAAAAACAAAAAATACAATTGGAAACCCGTAGAGTTGCGTTTAATTGCCAAAGCGATAAGGTCAGAGATCAAAGACCCTAAGGGAAATGTCCCTGAATAATCAAAGGATTTAATAGACTTTATATGGTATATATTTTTATTGTGATTACTTTTTCTTAATTTTTTTGGTGTGGTGATTGCCAACTTTATCACATTGAAGGCAATTAAACAACATAAAGAAGGCAAAAACGACAGCCGCCATAATAATTTGAGCCAAAACACATGTAATTACCCGCAAACAGATAGACGGACAAAAACAGATTGTTCAGATATACTGGTCGCTATAATTGCCCCATTGTAATTGCATTGTCAAAAGTAGTTTCTTTTCGCAAACAGAAAAGTGGGGGCAACTCGAGTGTGTCAAGTCACTCAAGGCGATTGACATGGAGATAGATAAACCGATTCGGGGCTGCAGATTACTGATTACTGAAAATGTGTTAAACTTTTGATGGTAAATCGTAAAAAATAACAAACCGAAATGAATGATGATTGTAAAACACTCTGTTTAGCTACTGTTAGACCTTGGCCAGTCCGTCAATTATATTGAAAAACATCATATAACGACCTATATCAACTTATCAGCAGTGGTACCCCGATAGTCCAACTGAAGGTTGGGCGATAGGTAAAAACACGAAGATATTTTCTTAGTATAAATAAAACTGAAGATTGCTGAATGGAAAATTTGTCTGACGTTCGGGAGGATTTTACTATTATATGTTTTTAATATATTTTAATATTATGTGTTATTATTATATATTTTTTTTGGATATTGTTTGTTTCGTTAATAACAATTCATTACCTATATTTTTCTCAATTTCCCATCAACTTGTTCTTGTTTTTTCGGAATGTTTTTTTTTATATTTTCTTTGTCGAAACGCCCCCAAAAAAAAATTAACTTTGATTGATGTAATTCCGTGGCTTGTTCTTTTTTTCTTGGCGTTGTTCGAACAGCGTTTTAATACTTTTACCGCTGCTTGGCTCATTACACGCATGTTCTGTCTTTAATCTTGATTTTTTTTATTATCTTACTTGCCTCGATACGAATTTGTTTCTTTTTATATCTTCTTCGTTTCACTGTATTTTACCCGTTTTTTTCAGTTATATTCGATTTCAATTCTCGGCCGCTTGTAGTGCAAAACAATCAAGTTAATTGTTATCACACGAAGCCCAAGTAAAAGGCAACAACAAAATTGTTAAGTATACATAGTCAATAAAAAGCTGGCAACCGAATCGTTGTTTTTTTTTTTGTTTTCGTCGTGATATCATCTTTTTTATTCTGCTTGATATTTTATTCTTTTATTGTTATCGGGAAGCACAAAAGGTGGGCGAAAAAGGTTCCTCATTTGCTTAAAAGAATTCCCACTCATTGCATTTATTACTAGATATTTTCGTTGAAGATTACACTCATTATTTTCATTATTTTTTACTCACTGGAAATCTTAATTGATTTTTAATATTATTTTACTGTTTTTCTAATAAACTCTTTCTCTTGGCTTCCTTGAATCAACTGAGGCAATAAAGCACGCTGCACTGGCTTAAGTTGTTCATTCATTAAAACAAACTTCAATGAATTCCCAGAAATCCAAACAACTTGGGTTCTAGCGTTTGATTTATAAACCTTTTTTGCCACAACATTTGATATGGGACATGTTTAAAGTATGATCGTCGCATCGCTAAGACATTTTTTGTTTACTAATCAATAAGCAATAAATATGAATGAATTTCCGCAAATTTATCATGAATTAGAAAATAAGCTATGTAATAGACATTTATTTAATTTATTTTAAATACATTTTTTTAATTTATTTTATTCTTAATATTTTTTTTTGGAAATTATAAAATCGAAATTGATTTCCTCACCTACACTTGAGGTTCTTTCGGTTCTTGACGCTTTATCTCTATTTTTGTTTACAGTGTTCACCTGCCATTACAATATTTTTGGGCGATAGCCATTCCCGTTCCATATCTGTCGACAGATAGAGGCAAAGAAAAATATATAGAGAGACATATGATATGATGTTTGTGCCTACATATATATATGTATGATAACCGATAAATGGCCCGGTCGTATGCCCAACTTGGAATCGATAAACAAAAAACGAAGCAGAAACCGAGAAATACACACGCGGGGGCATCCAATTACGTGCAATTACATTTATAAAATTTCTTCGCTTTTTTTCTCGCTGTCTCTGTCTCTGTCCCCCTTCTCTCTTTCTCCACATTAAACAAAAAACAAAAAGAAATTATAGATAAATACGACTATACGTATTGACTCCATTTTTATTTCTTTGTCTATCAATTTCGCGGAATGGAAGTCGATAAAAAAAAGGCGATATATGTGTCTGTACATAAAGCTGACACGAGAGCGAAACAAAAGTACAATGCAAACAAACAGCGATATCAGCGATAAATCATTCATATGCTAGATCTATATAAAGGCCACTTGCGTTGTATATGTTGTGTACATTTCTATATATATAGCTGGTCGATCAGATTGCTGGCGGCGATCGGGGAAGATATCAACCCTTTAAGTTGCTAATATAATGTCATTATTATAATTGTAAGATCTATTACATCAAATATTTTAAAAAGAAGGTCTAGATTGGGGAACTTTAGTTATCGATAAGGTGTCTTGTTATGTCTGATGCTGTACCAAAGACATATATTGCACGATCTACAACCCATTGAAGAGCCGACCTAACCCAATTGAATCACACACACACACTCTGTAGTAAACCGTATCAAAGGTTATCTCTGCGGCGTGTTCACACCTCTCGCCCCACAAATCCAATCGGAATCCATCAAAAAAAAAAAAAAAAAAAACAACAAGACGGGGTAACATGAGAAAGTCGAGTCGGAGAATATGAAAAATATTGTGGCAGACGACGCACATCAAAGACCGATTGCCGATGCGATCGGATTCGACAAACATCACGCCCGTGTTTTATGCACAACCATATAGCTATTATATATGGCGATATAGGGTACACATACCAACCTACCCTACCTGTCCAAATACATACCATGCCATATATATATATATATATTGATCTGTCCCCTCGTTATCAGGGGGTTACAGCCCCTTTGAGGTGCTGATGAGCGAGAGCCATTCAACTTGTTGCCAAGTGTCGCTGCCGCCGATTCCGATTCGGAATCGGAATAGCCATACACTTATAAGAAAAATACAAAAAAAAAAAAAAAAAACCAGAAAGAAGGCGAAACAACCCACAAATACACACCGAAAAGGCAATGTACCCAGGCATTCATGTGTCTTGGCCTGGCGTCACTCACAATTTCAATTTCCATTTTATTTACCCTGGGAAATATCAAGATCCTGGCCATATTGGTACCACTCACTTTTGGGGGATTTCTGGATCAATAAACATACATGATGTTGATACCATTTCATAAGAATAACCATATTAACTGTAATAATTATATTGTTATCCCACAATATCAGTTATAATACTTGGATATTATATTTACACAATATAAACAGTTTGCTATTTCTCGATATTTTTCTTTTGCTTCGTTTCGAATAAAAATATCGAAAATATCGATAGTTTTTAAGCTCTATTAGATATTCATATTTCTACAGGGTATCATTCTCGTCGAAAATCTCGACTATTCTCGATACTTAATTTTGTTGCATTTTGTTGTTACGTTTATTTTCGAATTGTTTATTTAATGTTCTTGCAGCGTCGTTTGTTTGTTTGTGTTATGTGTTTTATGTCTTTCTTTTTCCCTGCCTTTCCTTCCGCCAGCGGGGGGCGGGCTGGGAGGTATTCGACGATGGGCGGTAGGCGATGGGAGGTGAAAAACGGGGGGAGTGGCGGGAAAATTGTTGGTCCAGCTGAGCGGAGCGAACGCCTTAATAATCTAATTTCTG